GCGTGATCGTTAGAACATACCAAAATGCGTTTGGAATTATATTTAATTTGAATTTTAGTTTACTATAACCTAATCATGATGTTGCAATTCTGGTGTACCCTTACCTTTCGATTTTATACACACGGATATAAAAACCATATACAACTATGTACTAAAAGTATGATGAATTTTAAAAATAAAAAAACGAGATCGTAATTCTATCGCTATAATTGATAATGTAATATTAATATGATCACGCATCTCTATGGCTGATCGCTGTTTAAATGTGATCTGCGCCATGCGGGAAATCAAGTGTAAATTGGCTCCCACGCCGCAGCATTATACAACTATTGGTATACCTGCTTTTTAACATAATAAACCATGAAACAATGTTGAGCTATATAGTCGAAAATTCTCAACGATAAAAGATCAAAGCTGGTTAGTCAATCCAGTTTAGCGAAATACAATACAAAAGATAGCTTCAATTGAAAAAAACAATTTCACCTTAATGCATTTAAGTGTTCTTTATTTCTTTGATACGTCTCAAAAGATTCGATTCAATCGATGAGTTCTTGTCTTGTTGTTTGTTTTTCTATAACAACCGAAATAAAAGATATTGGCGTGTACAGTGTGTGCCCTTTTTTTCTGTCCGGAAATCCCATCGGATATCAAACACCGTTGGGTTGAGTATGTCGGACTCAGTAGCCGGGGAACCAGGTGTACTCCAGAAAGGAAATCCCTGATACCCCAACGTACCTTGAGCCATCCACGTACATTGAGTCGTTTGCGGTAAATGGCCCGTTCCCGGGCCTGGCGGGCCGGTAGAGTTCTAAACCTAACTGAGTCCCGCTCCGCCAACATTGTGTGCCCTCATACATATTTTATACAGCTTGAGATTCTAGAGGTATATAACATGCGTGTACATATTATATATAGTAGCACGATAAAAGGCTTAGTGATCGATTGCTACATGGGATTATACTCGAGATAATCACATGTAATTATACGGTTCAGGAAATTTAATCGAGGTTTGCGCACAAACACTTGTTTAATTTGAAGTATACATGCATCGCTTCTTTATTTTAGTGAAGTACGCTTATATTAACCCAAACTAGACCTGATTTAGATTTACTGTTAATATATAGTAAGATAATATTATAAGGTTAAAGACTATTGTATATAAAGCTGTATTCGTTACAGTGAATAAAAAGTGCTTAAATAAATCATATACATCGCCATGGTAACTATTTTGGCATAGTGGCTCCAAAATAGTACTACTCTGTATATCGAAAACACAGTAATATAAAACAATCACATACAGTTAAAAATGTATCTATTTGCTATGATAAAAAAAAGGAACATACAGGTAACCTTATATCCTAAGTATTCAGGTAATAAATCTTGTATTTATCTGTTACGCTTCTAAACATTTCTGTCATTGAAACCTGACAATCAAATAATAAGCATATTGCAATCCTCTGCCAGAGTGAAGTCTCTCTCAATGTGCGCTGCAGCACTTAGTCCTCCGTCTGCGCACTGAAAATACCATTAGAGAAACAGAAAAAAACCATAAGAAAAAATACATAAACAACATTCCAGAATGTCTCACCTTCTTAAATAATATAAGCAGTACGAGAAACTACTATTGGCAGAGGATTAATCTCTTCCAGAGTGTTCAGAGTACATTTCAGTTGAAACGAACTACGAAATAGATTAAGAGAATATCTAATACGACAAACGACCTGAAACACCTTACGCCGTCAATAACTGTATAACAGCCGCTACTAATGGGTTAAGTTAACGGACACGACAATGGACAGATGACGCAATCTACAACATGTATAATATTAACCGCTAGTTGGAAGATCTTCCGTAAAAGCTCTAAATCTCGTTAAAAAAAGAAGAAAAAGGAATTCGTCAAACATAAATGATAAGAATTCAATAATGTTTTCTAACTTAATATTAATAATAATCCATGAACACATCCACGAAGAAAAAGATGGATCTTTTCTTTAGTCAGCCTGTAGTTGTATAGATGTAACTGAAAATATTCAAATCCTTGAGACATTTTAAGCCATAATAATATTTTAATTTTTATACAAGATAATTTATTTAAGAAGAAAGAAACTATTGTACACAATATTATTAATTATATTTATTGTTATAACATCAGACATAATAAAACTCAAGTATTGTGTATTTTAATTTGCTTTTACGACTTTTATAAATTGATAACATGATAAGTTAAAAATGTTTTGATATTGCGTGTTTATGACTACTACATTTAGGTCAATTTTCAAGGTCACAACTATCGCATTTACACGTTTTATATTTGCATATCACTTTGATTTACATTTAATTAAAAATATTGTTGTTAAAAAGTAGAAGATGTTTCATATTTACATAGAGATATGAAGTCAACGAATTTCCGGGACCTTAAAGTAGCATCATACTTTTTTAAAATCGCCGTTATAAGTAAAATATAATTCAATAGTATATGTTATGATAACTAAATGTAATAGCTTTGCAAAGCTAGCTTGGCTTCTACTGTGCTTTACAGTAGAAGAATTTCAAAATAATTTAAAAAAGATGTGTTAACAATCAGTGAAATCAATTATCTTCTGTATATAGAATAGAATGTACCTTATTTTCGCGAAAAATATATGTGTACAGACTTCAATTTGAGAACGTTCAATCACATTTGGACACATTTTAATTAAATTATTAAAGCCAAACCAGCCATTTTTAATTCTACCTTAATAATATCTTTTACAGATTAACCAAGCTAGGTTTAATGTCAATGCAAAAGTAGACAACACACCGTTTACAAGTAGAAGAGAGATGACACTTAAGGCTACCCTAATACAAAAACTGCATAAATTATTTCACGTCACTAATGCGTCGCTACGGCAATGGAAAACAGTAAAGTAGCATTGAAAATTTAAATACTGTTAAATTGAAATTACATCACCAACGTCGGAAGTGATCACCTGATATAAACCTACCTTTGGTGTAGTGACACATGTGACGTTTATATTACCTCTCACTGTAAGAGTAAAAGGGCTTTCAAATATTTAGAAACAATTTAAAACAAACTAAAAACATAGCGACAGCATGGAATAACTATCTAATGTATCTTAATAGAACAAAATTCGTAGTTGCCGAATGTTGAGAAATGATACGGTGAAATAGAGTTTAACCACAGGGCGCAAAACCCAATCCAGGCAGAAGCACACTGGTCATACTAAGCAGCGATTGTCAAATTAGGTAACCTACAAGATACAAAGGTGCCCCGTGTAGGCAACTTACACTTACTGAGTGATTGCGATGCTTCGCGATGCTTTGGTTTGATTTTACATAAATCAATAAAAAATATTATGCTGTGGGTTAACTTGTGACTCATGAAAACCGTGGTCGTAATAAATTAGGTCTTGTATATTGTGTCCTATAGGGTATTTGTCAAAATTTGTATTCATTTTGCAATATCTGTTAGAGATAGGAACTACAACATTTTGTATTCTCTTTTGAAGTATGACCAGATACAACCATTACCAAACCATTAGTTGCGCCACAATTTGGCGTTATCCGTTTTTCGTAATAGAAGATTTGATTTAAACTGTGTTAACCTCCGTACACCAACAACACACTAAAATCGGTCAATGATAATCAAAGTTAGATAGAAAAATGTGATTAGAACTTACGGATATAGCGCTGCTTACATTTAAATGCTTTTAGGTCCTTTCACCCATGAATACCTTGGCACCGAAATAAATGGAATGAAAATGAAAGAATGAGAATGAATCCATGCCATGTAAACATTGTACCGGTACGGATATGCTAATACTTACAGTATGAAATTCATTTTCCGTCGCTGGCACGATGGTGTCAAACTCGAAGGTACCGATACGTCACGTGAATTACCTTCATTTTTCTCATTAAAGGGAGCTAACGTTGAATCTTTATCTTTCAGGTCATTATCTTTTTCAAAATATGTAGCTTGACGGCTTCGCTAAGATTCTATGGGCGTAAGTTGAAAAAATTATTTTGCAACTGCCACATGGGCGCGAGCCATATAATCTCGTCTTGGCGACATTTTACATGAAACCTTTTTCGTGGAATAATGATTAATTATCATCGTCCATACATAAATTCATCAGTACTCGACCTGCAGCTGAAATTACGACAAATTAAATAAATATGTACAATTGAAAGTACGGATTATAAGAGGAACCCAATCTCAACTTCGCAAATATGGCAATATGGATTCTTAATCGAAGTAGGTATTTTAGGTAAATACCTAAAAACCTTAAATAATCCTGAAGAATTTTTTAGCAGAAATCTCAACAAGAGCTAGTCTTTCATAGTCTTATATATTACAGACATATTTCTTTCACATTTTTATCTGATAAAAATGTCACGTGTTGAAATATACATTCACGAAACTGTCATAAAATTTCTTTAAAACACGGGCTTTAAATAATCCACTATAAATAGCATATTATTGTGTCATGACTACAAGATTCAGTTATAATTTAATGTTAGTACCTACTCCAGTAGTAATAATATCCTTTACTTTTCACTTTAACAATTTATTTGACTCCTTTATTTTTCACCAAATCCATCAATCAAATCAATACAAAAATACCTTGTGATTTCTTTACTTTTGTACATCGCAACTCAAGCTTGGAAATAAAAAAAATAGTGGATCAGAAATCACTTTAACGAAATAAATCATAATAGCCAAATGCATGCACCGGTTAAATTCGTTCACGGCCAAACAACAAGGCACAAACACGTTCAATAGTGACATAACATCGGAACGACCTATAGCATAGGAGAGGCCACGCAGCATCTCTATCTCTAGCTTCTAAGTAACGTATACGGGATCGGTCGCCTCTCGGGGTGAAAACCCTTTTGCGGTCGTGCAAAAACATAAGAGACTCAACGTGAACAAGGTAAATAGGAATCAAGATAGAAGGTTCAAGGGCTAGAATTGTAGACGGAGCGCGCCACTGGCAAATATGTTCGTCCTGCTCGCTCGTCGCCCTAGGCTGCGACGCGCACTGACGATCCAGTCGCGGTCTGCCGGCCGTCGCGACGCTCGGGGCCGCTCCGACGACGCGCCGCCTCGCCGCTTTCCGCGTATGTAACCAACGTGTGGGATGCACTACTGAGCATCAGCATCGTGTGCGCTTAGTAGAAGCTCCGGCTTCCAGTGACTGCGTTAGGCAACGTAGCCCGTATCTAAAACCTCTTCGCGCTCGCGTACCGGCGACCAGTGCAGTGTGTCACTGGGGCATTGGTTTATGTCTGTATATTTTGAATATACGTCTCATCAGTGATAAATTTACTTAATAGTGATTCAGTTTCGGTTATCTGACGTGCTGAATTTGGTGGATTTCAGTATGCTATCGAATCACTCATAAGACAATTTACTACAGTTTCAGTTCAGGAGTACCATAGTACTCGCTTTGTGTGATTATTGAAATAAGTTGCAACAAAAGATAACAGTTAAATCCGTATATCAACGTTGTCGTATATACATTAGTCTTTTGTATATAGTCTTGCCTACGATAATACTAATGTCTAAAGCATAATTTTATGAAAGTGTCAAGGTTCTATCAAACACGCAACGGATTTAAAATTAGCCTCAGTTACGTTGTCGGCTTAAAAACCACGTTCGACCAAGTAAATATCATCTTTGAAACATTCGTTATTTTATGAAGCTGGTAACACTTAGCATGAAAGACAGTTTTAAAGGACCGACATTATTAAAGCTCGAAGTCAAAGAACCCTAACTGTATAAATTTTAAGATGTTTTAAAGACATTAGTTAGTTATACTTACAAGAACTATTGATTTCACATACAACTTGTTGAATGTTTGTTGGTTCATTGCAAAAGAATAAATAGGTACCTAAATTCAACGCCTTTGAATTTGATTATTTAGCACAGACCGTCCAAACAACTAGTGCTGTAGGTAGGAATACCGTGAGCGTAACGTATACTACCTATTAGTTATCATATTTTACGATATCTTTACATTGCCACTGCGGTAATTAACCTTAATTTAAGAGCAAACAAATTATTGAAGAGCATACGCATGATCAACATGCTGTCATAATTTGAAAATGTTTTATATTTATCACTTCCTGTCAACAACTCTTCCCAACATCGTGTTTGTCTGATTTATTTGTAGGCGAAATCGTAACATGCATTTCACGCTCCGTGGCCATTTTATTTATTTTACTATTTAAATGTAACCAATGGGCCATGAAGTTATGCCACTACCCTACACCAATGTCCCATGAAACAACGTTAAAGTAAGATACTAATCGATACACAGTGACGTACACTTCACATTTTATCACTCATTCATCAAACACTTTTACAGAATTTAAATTACATTAATAACCCATTTACATTGAAGAGTTTGTAACAGTAATGTCGCTATATCACTCAGTAATACGATGTAGTTTTCGCGTGAGAGCGGCTGATAATAAGATTAGAACGTGATAATGTTAATGCAGTAATTAGATTGTACGTATGACGAAACTAAGACAAATACAACGTTTTTATGAGCTGCGTTAATAACTTTTCCTAATTTCGAAGCAGATTACATTATTAAAATGCCTAATTTTATAGTTTAGTCACAATTTCAACATATGTTCATTCTAGTACCTATTATTATTTAAATCACAGTCTGACAAGCATAAAGGTTATGGGTAACTCCTTCGTAATGGCACAAAATTATATGTTGACGATGTATGACACGTCATATATGTCCTTCTTGATATAAAGTCTCCTATATAGTCGTAGTAAAGTAAACATCTTATAGAGGAGTAGATCGAATTAGTACATATATCATAAATCTCTAGAGCGTATTTCTCAATGAACTATGGCACACTGAACATTGAGTATCTCTCCGTTTGTTTAGCGATGACGTGCAAAATGACTACACAATTGAAACCGCCGACCGCTCAACGAGTAGTAATTGATTGTGCTGATCGCTATTGGTGCCAGCAATTGCTTATACGGACCATAATAATGACAATTATTCGTGTTGACAAAACCTCATTGAGAAAATGAAAAAGTATCTTTATCAACGCATTGTATTTTAAACTACAATAGAAGAAGGAAGTCATGAAGCGCACTATTTGGCAACGTCACATATTCTGAGATGACTTCTACCTCGAACTTGATATATTTAACAACATTGAAGTGCATCAAATTACATTTTGGTCTTCTAATATACTTTGGTGTTCATAAGTCATGCGGAAAAAAAATCATTTAATTAAGTACTTTGGTCTTTTTTTAGTCTCTGTTGCAGGATAATCCTTTACAAGAGGAATCATAAGTTATAGGTTAAAAATTTGATCATATCTCCCTAGTTAAAAATCTTTTATAAATTATAAATCTTTATGATATTAGATAGATTAGATCAAAAGCAGCAGATATTACTTTCCTCCTAATATTAGATTGGCGTCGTGTCCACAATTTCTTTCTTTCTTCAAAACCTACATATCAAATATTACATATTATAAAATATTTATTACTATTCTTTTTGAATCGACCTCTTAGATTATTTATGAATAATCTATACGACCTCCATTAAAAGTATTTTGCGATTAATTTATTGATAGGCATGATATATCACATAAAGCACTTAAAATGCCTATAATCAGTAATTTTGAACATGCAATAAACATAATTGGATAATAATGTATCATGTGAGAAATAATTACGATTACAATAATTAAACTTTTTAAAATTATTTAATCCTTTCATTTCTGTTCATCAGTTTGCGCACATGTGTTATCTAATTCAATTCCACCTTTTATTTAGTTATTTATTATCATATTAATGGATTATTATGACAATCGAATTTGTATACTAATCTGTATATATAATAGGTTTGTTATTTATATAACTACATGTACAATACACAGCAGGTCAATAGTACATATGTATGTTAGATACACGGGAGGCGTGTGGCATGATGTAACAGATTCGAAATAATTTTTAAATTTGTAACATGTTGTCCAAAATGTTTAGCTTCTTAGAATTTATTTACAAATAAATCAACATTTTATAATAATTAGAAGCGCGATTATTTCTTCAAAATGCTATATTGTGATAAAGATTTCCTTTATATATGAACATCAGAAATAAGTGCTACTCCACAGCATTAAATTTTAGTCGAATGTTCACGCTCAGCTTCCTCCCAACTCAAGTAATTTAAGTGGGCTAGTTCCAACGAGTATTCTGAAAAGCAAAGCTAAAGCAAACAAAAATTACAGAAAAATTGGATTTCAACTGGAAGAAACCCCTATTTAAGTATAACTTGGGAAAGGCGAAAGTCAGATGATTTCTAATTCTAGATCATAATCTTAATAAAATCTTTCTAAAAAAATAAGTAAATCCGTTTAATAAAAATGGCTGTAAAATACTTTTTACAGACATTTTATGTATCATGATTGATGAATAAAGTCTAATATTGTTTGTTCAAATGATCCGTAGTGCTTCCTGTGAATAATTACGAGTAATGAATTCACACAGTAAAACTACCAGATCAGGCAATGACTTGCTATATTTAAAAGTTTTAGCACAACAAATACCTATGTGCTGACATCGGGACAAACTATTTTGTGGTGTTACTTTATACTTGATTATGTTAAGATTAATAAATGGTTACATCGAGTTTTGCTAATAATATTACCTTTTTTATCCTTCGGTTCCTTAAATAGCATGTGCGATTAACAGTATAACTGTATATTAACTGCCTCAGCCAGTATTGCAATCCTAGGCATTGAGATATCGAGCGAAGTTGAGTTTCGCGGTCATTTAGAGGGTAAGGTCAAATTGGCGTCGAAAAAGCTCGGTGTGCTGAACAGATCCAGGCAGTATTTCACTCCAGCCCATTGCTTCCAACTCTATAAGGCGCAAAACCGACCGCATATGGAATACTGTTCTCATCTTTATGCAGGGACACCATCGGCTTCTCCCTCTGGACCGTATCCAAGGAAGAGCGACTCGAATCGTCGATAGCCAAAAGATTTGCGACCGCCTCGATCCCTTGGCGTGATATGTAGCTCGCATTCTCTATCGTACGTATCATGGAGAGTGCCCTGAGAAATTCTTCGGACTAATACCAGCCGCAACCTTCCGCCATCGTTCCACACGGCAAAATTTTCATTCCCACTACTTGGATAATTGGCACTCCACCACTTTGCGCTTTTCAAGACACTTTTTGCCTCGCACTACCAACCAGTGGAACAAGCTTTAGCTTTTGCCATCAGACTTTGTAGTAATAATACTGAAAGTTTGGAATCGATTAGTTAATAAAATAGTTGCCCATACAAACTTTAAAAAAAATAGTAACAAAGTATTTTATTACTTTTAATGAAGAGTATTTACTCTTAGTTGGCAAACGCTACCAAAAATAACGAAATTTAATATAAATTTCCATTTTTTTTTTGACATAAATAAATATAACATGTAACAAGGTGAAGTCACTGGGTCCTATAATACGGTTCACACTAGTTTAGAAGCCAGCGTATTTATACTATTTGTAAAACCATTATGTCAAAAAATATTTCATTTCATTGCAGTGGCCTGTTGATCTAGTATTTGTGACCCTGACAACTACGCCAGAGGTCGTGGGTTTGATTCCCACCCAGAACAAATAATTGTGTGATGAGTGAATACACTACACTATGCGAATATAATATTTGTGTATTTTTACACTACGTTAAAACATACTTTTATGAAAATTCGTTAAGATTGTGTCATATTAAAAGGTAAAGAAAATTCTTGGAACCCTTTTAAACAAATAGGGCGCTAGGGACAATTAGGATACAGTATAGAAAGCTAGTTTTTAAAGAGCACGTGTATACAAAAAACTAAAGGGATATAGTATATACTTTTGCCTATCCTGGTACAAAAGTCTATCCCTACAATGATAGTTTACGTAATACTGATCAGAAAAATAAAATAGGACATTCGTACCGTCGAAATTTGACCACTATAAATCTCCGTGCTTTTTTTTCAAGTTTCTGAGCAATTGGTAGCGGATGCGGTCTCTGAAATATAGATGTTGGTTCTTTTAATATTTCAGTGGCTGGATGTGAATTAGGTATGCTCAAGCGATAACCTGTGAAGAACTCCGCTTTACTTTTGTTTGGCGTTCATCCAATAGGTACATACAAAATATTTCCTATACATACTATATTGTAATCCTATTTCACATGTTGTAATATTTGAACTGTACGTACGACTGAAACTTTGTAATGTTGACACGTAAACCTTAGAGGCGCGTCAAACATTCGGTTAAAATTCGGTATTTGACATTTTCAGCTAATTTGTATTGGGCACAATTATTCGGTTTAGATGTTACATATGTCATGTTACATATCTGTCTTACAGCTCTGTAAGAGATTCTTTTTTAACACAAATAAAGACGTTTTGATATTTTTTTTGGAGATTAAACCGGTTTTAACTACTCCGGTGATTTTCAATCGATATACTTAATCAGCACTAACTGTGAAATTATGTAAAGAGTGTTTATTATTGGTAGTATTTAGTTTTTAAAAACAGCATTGGATGCGTTACTATTGAAGCTTACCTAATCAAGTTTTTGTACTTCATTCATAAGTTTTAATATTTTATTCGTTTGTTTAAAAACTCTTACAGTAGCTTGAGTTAGGTTTCTGGATATTCGCTACGTATAACATCTAATACCTACACAGTTTATTCCCTTTCTCAAATAATTTTCTAAACCAACGTATTTTATACAATTAGGTCGGCACCTAAGTGATTCGATAGCACTGAAACCAACCAACGTTAACGATTTATAGGTGTTAATAATAAACAACATATAATGGGTTAAGTAATGTAATCAGTTTTGTGTACTTACGAATGTAAAAATGGTGTTTATATAAAAAATAACTATCAATACAAAAAAGGCAAAGTGAAAATTTTAATCGAACAATTTCTTCCTTTTCTCCCAGATCCATGTAAAACTTATCTTCTCGTAATCCCAAAAGTAGATATTCATGTAAGTCACCTGACATATCGATACCTTAACTTATCTTAAATTTTAAGCTAACTTTCAAGACTGAACTAGATCTTTCTTGTAATTATTACATCCTTGTGTGAATATAGAAGTGCCAATCTAATCAAATCTGTTGGCTGTGTTCATTGACTTCTCTCGAATAGAGTTTCAAGATTTGTGTATCTGACAGTGTGTAGTGACATATGGTGATATCGTGCGTGTGTAAATTACACGCGTGCGCATGTTTTTGTAGTGTGTGTGTTAGTGCGTGGAGCGGCGCAGGCGCGTTGGCTCGGGGGCGCGCACGGCACCAAGGTGGTCGGAGGCGGGGTGTTCCGTTGCTGCGTGCCCTGGTGCGGGGCGCGCGCGGCGGCTCCCGTTGACGAAGCCGACTATGCCCTACGGGATGGCAGCCTTCAACTCGACCATGATGAATACGGTAAGCATATTTTAAATTATATACTAAAGCGTATAAAAAGAAAGCTGCTGACCTTATCATTTTTCTCAAAAATAAAAATCGTGGGAAAGAAAATTTTCAGATTAGCTAGTTCTGAAATATCTGCCAATTATGTGTACAAAGTGATTTCCTTTTGTAAATACCAGATTACCCTACCCTAGGCAGAGTATAAGCCTAACTTCATCTTCTGAACCGTCTGTTTCAAATAACATGAAAACGCGTACCTATATTTTATATTATTTGATTTAGTAGTTAAAATTACTATTAATATTGAAAATTTGAGTATCAATATACTGAAAATCTTTTTTTGGTTGGATCAAATGTTAATGGTCCTAATATACCCCAGGCAAGCTGTACGCTACATAATAACTTCAAAAACTATAATTTTTCATCATTGTAATACCATATATTTCAACAGTAACGATTTAAATTCAATAGAATCAATAAGAAAAAAGTTTATCTTTTAATAAAAATATGGTTTAATATACTCTAAGCTAGTTGAGGTAGGTTAGAGTATATTTAACCATATTTTTGAATATACATATTTAGCTGTTATAACAGGTAAAATCATATCAAAAACATTATTGCTGACGGTCAAAAAAGGATCCCCTTTTGTGCAACTTATGTCTGACCTTCTTTTCCGTGGCTTATCTACAATATAGGACATAAGGAATTTTGTTTTAAACTGCTAAAGAATATTAACGACATTAATGCTAGAAAGATGTCCTCTGTATCCAATAGTTATAAATTAAAGTCTGTTTCACTTCGTAAGCGAGTTATGCTTCGCCAGTTTCCTAAACGACATTAAATTACACGCCAAAGTTAAAGGTTACAGTAATGAACTAAGAAATATAAAGATCTTGGCTGTTTCTGAAGTTACCTTTTTAATTTGATTATTACTGACATATGTTACATATTGGTACGTACAATTTATTATAGAAGTATCGAGGTTTGGTGTTTTTTTATAAAATTATAATTCAGTTTAGGGAGTGATTGCAGTACTCCCAAAATTTATTTTTTAGTTAGATAATTAAAACAATAAAATTATTTATGACTTCTTCATTTTACTATATTTATAAATACGTTTTATTTCTTAAATAACTTTGTAGAAAATATTTGTAGTTCTATTATTACCGTAAATATTGATATGAATGTAAGTACTTTGTTGAGGTCGTTGTTCCTAACTGTATTTTTATAGTTTTTTTTAACTCAAAATGTGTAAAATACTCAGTGAAATTAAGAATATTCTTTTAAAGTCATTTAAAACTATTGTCAATCATTTCCAGAATGACAAACACACACAGAGAGAATTACAACGATAATCCAAATCACATTCAATAATATAATTAATAGTTGGAAAAGAGGCATAGACAAGATTAATAACGACATTAATAACATAATTAATTATTTTGGTTACCACCAGTCATAATATATAAATGGTTTTTCGTTCCTTTAAGTCAAGAACAGTAATCACATTAGACGCTATTAGATATGCTTCCTGACAAATCACTTAGTTTGTTTCCAAAACAGTAACAATAACAATAGTTTTTATATTATTTTGTGAAAATAGTTTTGATTACTAACTAAGAGAGTTGTAATAAAATGGATTCTAGTAAGCCTATGGTAACGTGTTACCACATGATTATATTTAACTAGATTGAACTGAACTCTACAAGGCCTATAATTTATTTGTATTTATATTTTGCCTGCCAGTCACTATAGTTGCCTGCTCATGCCTTGGCCTCTTCTTCAACAAATTCCTATTTGTGATTTAGATAGGGTAATACACAAATGATGAAATTACCTGTAATTACACATATATCCATATGAGTAAATAATATGTTGCATATTAAAGCATCAGTTTATGATACTTATTCACAAATACATGTGTTAGACACGACACTCATGTTTTTCCAAACTTCATACATAACCTCTCCATACACTTTTCTAACAATCAATGCCGAAGAATTTCGTTTAACAATGTTCTCTCTTTTCTCAACGCTTGGAAATATTAAGTAATTATTCTGTACATTAATAAGTAGAAAAATAAAAATATTTTTCACTTTTTTATAAAGCGATTTTTTTTCTCTTTGTTTATAATCAACTGGGGACTTTTTGATGTATTTACTATTGAATTTTTTTATTTTACGAGCCTACAATTAAAAAAAATACTATTTTATTCTAGATCAGAACGGTTTATTGTTTTCTTTAACGAATTAGTCAAATTTCAAGTATAGTACACATACAGTTGTTAAGTTAAATTTTACATATTATGTCATTCTTTAATTATATACTAAAACATTTAAAATAGATTAAAAGCAATAGTTTCTAAGCACAACAGATTTGTGGGCAAAAACAAACGGGTCTTATTAAATTACTTTAGTTGTTGATTCCCCAAAGCAACGGATTAATTGAATTATTCGTATCTTCTCTTTGGCAAGTCAACAACACATTTTTGAAATAATTTAAGATATATCAGTTTACAAAAAGTTTCCTGGGTTCATTATGAAGAACTTCTTTCTACGTTTTAAGTACATAAATTGTTTTTTGTTTGTGAGTTTTTATTCAAGGCAAAAGTTATGACAGGTTTTTTTTATATTTCGTAGCTTAAATAATTACTAATCTAAAATCTGATATTTCTAAATACACACGTTATTTATTAATAATACGTACGTATTTAAATTTACTTGAGTATGTTTATAAGCAGCTGGTTACCACAGTACAGGCTCAGGCTAGGTTTTTATTAAGAAAATCCTTAATGTTAAAATGTCTTAAAATACATGAATATATAAATGTTTTAAGAATTTTGCCGCTATCTATACAAATAAATAAAATTGAAGTGTCTGTTTGTAATGTCCAAATAATAGTTTTTTCATGCTTACACGATTATTTGGACGATACCTATGCCTGAAAACCAGTTAAAATATTTTTTTTTCGGTCTGTCTGTCTTTCTGTCTGTCTGTGAGTCTCTTTGATTCGGGTAATCTTTAAAACGGCTAGACCGATTTTGATAATAATTTACTACCAAGTACCTGTCTATATAAGGAGTAACTTAGGCTATTTTTCTCTCAGAAAAACCTTTTGCCTGATCCGGGAATCGAACTCACTAAGACAGCGCTTTTCAAATTCCACGTGAACGAAGTCACGGGCACCAGCTAGTTATATATATATATATATATATATAACATTTGTTAGATAAAAAAAAATCAGCTGCAAGGACTAAGGAAATTGAGCTATTCTGGGGTTAGCTTCTACTGGTCCCGTTTCTCTGCCAAAACCCATCTTTGATTGTTTAGTTAGTGAGTATCCTTACACTAGGATCATTTATTGTGAGTGAGTACTCATTTTTAGTAGCGAAATTTCCAATTAAGCCACGGGTAACTTCCTTTACTCTTCTTTCAGTTTTAAATAAAGAAGCTTTAAAATGTTGACTAAAGCGACGTCATGTGGCTTTTAGTCACTAAGTTGATAATTAAACCCACGGCTTTAACCCTTAACAATGACGGCTAGTCTGAGAGCGTATTATTAGGTTCAAAAGAATGTTTCCTTCCACAGATGCTCATATTATACATTGACCTTTCAGTCCCGGTTTTCAGTATTGAAGTTCATTTATATCAGACATTTAAAATATAAAAATAAAATAGATAATTTTAAATTTCTACGTAGTTTCCTTTGACTTCAACACACTTGGTCTAGTGTTTCCCAAGATCACAAATCTTTACCGCTTAGGCTTGTATGATATTGACTGATGAATATCACTCATCCTAACACGCGAAACGCTAATTCATCCCCCAGGTAGTCAAGACGATTAGTGTAATATTTTCCTGAAATTGTACATCAAATGATTGAAAAGGATCTCTTTCTGACAGATTCCGTCGACTTTGCTTGCTTTGGCGCTAAAAGAAACCAGCGAAATCTTTCCTTTGTGCTGACGTCAAATAAAATAGGAGGAATAAAAAAGGGTAGAAAAATAGTGACCCTCTTGATCATAGAATCTTTGGTAGTCCAAGATTATAGGAGATGCCTATTATATTTACCTTGTTGAGACATCACAACAACAGCAATTGCATTGTGTCGTGAGTTTTAAGTTTAAACTTCAACTTGTTTCAATCATATATTTCAAGCAATCCATAGAGAATATGATTAAATCACAAAATAACTAACATATTAATATACGTAGAACAACACAGATTAATGAATTAATTTGAGTATACTAAGTTTCATCTTGTGTTACCATTTGTTGATGGCTGTGTTAGTTTAACGAATTCGACTAACTATAGGTGTCGGCTGTTTTGATTCTCGTTTTGTTCTTATGTATGATTCTGTTATGATTCGACTTTTTGTTTGAAAAACTTTTGTTTTTCTGACTGAATAGGAGATTAATTCAATTTATTTATCAAGCAGTATTACTTAATACATAAATAAAGTAGATATTAAATACTGACACACAATTTCGTCACTTTAACATACCGCTTTATTGATCATGAGCAATTAATAATAACACGCTTTATACATACATACTCGTACATGTGTATATACGTCAACATAATCAATACATATTTAGCTTCATGAAAGCGTCATATGGTATGTAATTGTCATTATTTATTCATTTGTTCTGTAGGTATACGAAATGTTTCTACTTGTGACGTTGTAACAATAACGTTGTATCATAATCACCAGGAGGGTTTTAAATATAATTTTTGGCACTTATTGGAAGTTATTAAGAATGACAATGCCTTCGTGTATATTTATTATTGATTTTCTCTCTGTGACACCCTCGCTGCGCGCAATAAATGGGGTTGCAACCTGACAATCAGCGCAGCATGAATACCAGACATATAATACAGACGTGGTGGTGTTTAAATTGTACTCATAATCAAGTAGGTCGCATTGTTAACTTTAGTTTACACTTTATCGTCTTTTGTACCTTAATTTTTTGTTCCAATTCATTCCTGCTTTTGCCGTGCTTGAACTGTATGATTTACTTAGTGTGGTGTAAGTTTTTGATTGGTTTCAGAAATATATAATTTACATAAATTATTATTGTCAGTAGACCTATCTTTTATTTATTCAACAGAGCGTGGTAGAAATAATTTATTGTTTTTCTAGCTATATCTGTTGTATTATTCTTAAGCTATACTCTCCACTTACAACTCGTCGTTTCAAATGATATTAAATCCAGCGACTGATCAAATTTGGAAATACCTGTTCAGAGCGGAGGAAATCGTGTTTGTGGGTGCAGAGTGGTCGCTACAGTTCACTTACAGTCGAGTACCCATGTCACTTTATATGTTTTTTATTTAATTATTGTTCAATGTTTAAGCGGTAAACGCCTTTTATGTACTTAAAGTGTGATTGAAGGGTTCACCGTAATTAATTTTGCTTCAAATGAAGATAGTTTTGTACATATTTTTCAAAGACGAGGTAGGCAATGATAATTGTCTAGTGACTAACTTATGTATATAAATATATAATAAAGTCAAAGTCGATGACTTCCCTATAATAAATCATCAATAATAATCCATCATTGTGAAATTGAAAGAATATTGCTAATACTATAATTTCATATGCTTTACTGTATCTTATTATTTACCATCGTAAATAGTTTATCAATAAATATCATCATCAGCAGCCTTTAATAGTTCACTGCTGGGCATATACCTCTCCTTAGAAATGAGATTGTAGCCTACTATACCACGCTGGCCAGACGAGTTGGTATAGGATTTGTTTCAAGTTTTTCTCCTCTTTGCAGTGCTTTGTCTGAGTAGTTTGCTACCTAAGTCGGCTCTTACGACATCAACGGAATGAATAAAGGTGGTGACGCTTTGTATTCTTAATCCGTTACTACATGGATGTTCATAGTTGAATCTCCTCTTATCCACATGTCTCTAATTTTTTTTTGTATAATTTAGATTTTTTCTAGTTATCTAATAGCTAGCTAGCTAATTAATAGTTTTAAGAAAAATATTAGTTTTAGCTATTTAAGAAATTGCATAGCTCTTTAGATATTTCGTCCTAGTGTGTCATATCGCTTCTCTGTAAGAAAACAAATAACTATTTCATATTTTTAACTCTAAGTTTCAAAAATATAAACTTTCCTATATCGATTCACGACAGACCTATTTGAATAATTAAACGGTGTAGTGTCTGCAACACTCCACTCTGACCTCTAATTTCTCAGTCGATTAACTTGTTTAAATTGTGGTATTTGCTTTACCACCGTGTACAGCTCTCTATCGCATGTAAGTTCAGGCATGCATAAACATTTGTCAAATATTGTTTACCGTACGACAGATTTCACTCCTTATTCTTGTTCTACTGAATGACATGAGAACAGTACTATTATAATAAACTAAACGCGATACAACGTGTAACTTGTATTAAGGCCTTGTTATTCAATTTAATTGTTAAAGCTGATAACCTTAGTTCAATAAAAAGAACATTATTTTTCTCCTACTCTTGCTCTAAATAAGCTTCAGAAGAAGGTCTTAAACAATAAAATAAAAACTTTGTTATAACCGCAACAAGGGCTATTACTTTTTGATGTTCATTGTTTGTGAATATTTTATAAATTAAAAGACAATGTTCTCGTTATAAGTTACGCACAAATATACATAATAATGAGTATTTAAAACTGAAACTCTAAGTCGTTATTTTTTAGTTATCTATAATTTTTCGTAATCATTTTCTATATCTTTCGTCTTCGAATGTAAATTTCTGTTTTATTTTGATTGATTTCATTTTACCGTGTGTTAGAAAGAGTAAAGTCTGACCTTGGATTGGTGACCTTTAGAGGTCAAAATTTGTGTACAGAAGGTCATATCCGATTGTAATTTTTCCTTTTCTTTTCAATTCCGGGCTCAAAAATATGCAATCCCATTTGAAAATTGCCCTTGACCTTCGAGATAACTTTCAAGGTTGCGGTCAAGATCAATTTCAAGGCCAGCGATGGATAGCCAGGGCAAATACATGTAACTTTTGTGTTTAACGTATTTATGAAAAAATGCATCCCTAGCGAATTATTCTGATGTTCCGGTACTTTTCTAACAGCCTGTAGTACATATACTATATAATACATATATAGAAAAGCCTTAAGTTTGACAAAACAAAAATCACAAACCTAGTGGAACGCAAAGTTAATAAAGTCTCAAGGAAGATAGGTATTAAAATAAATAACAGCAACGGAACTTAAATAAACGGAACTAAAACATTACAAGAAACTAATTTAAAAAAATGTAGATCCGAGTGTAATTGTCAGTTTCGTTTCAAAACACCATTTAAAGAAAATTATTTTTAATTATTTTCCTATCGCTTAATGTAACTGGTACTCGAAATGAATAACTTTGAAACAGCCGATCCTTTTTGAGTAACATTGATTTTGGAAGTCGTTAAGTAAACAATTTTATTTTATAACTTTTTAAAATAGTGTAGGTAATGTTTTCGATTTTTCTGGTATTATGTTTATTCTGTGTTTTTATTGTTTGTTTGCAGTCGTCCCAGAGCCCGTAATCAACTCACCCCGCCCGATCGGTCAACAATCCCCTTTGCCGGGTATCGAAGAGGAGGACGATTCCGATTGGCCTCTTGAGGACGCAACAGACGCAACACTCACACCTTCATACAAAAGTACTAAGAGTAGTACAGATACTGCTTATACGTCATCAAGAAGTTCGAGCAAAAAAATTAGTTTCGGTAGCCCGTCGTCTGTGAAAATATGTTTGTCGGCGGCGGCAAGGAAAAGTAACAAAGCACGTAAGCGTGGCTCCGGTGCGGTTAGCGTGTCGCCTTCTCAGGCTGGCGAAGAGGTTGCGCTTACGTCGCAGCCATCACACGGCAGGATGCAGGCTGAACAAGGCAGTATCGGCGAGCTGCAGAAATATCATGGCAGATATCTTAAGAGTCGACGTCACACTCTTGCTAATGTCCGGTGAGTTACACTCAAACAGTGGTTTTTATAATATAGTCCCATAACTATATCGGATGAATAAATCTAAGCACGTATCCAATGGGCCGCCTGAAAAAGCCTGTAGTCATTATTAAAGGTTTACGTTTTTGTAAGCAAACATGTGATTCTACTAGCACCTGTTGAACTTTGATCTACGCGGTTTCTTATCACATTATTATTAAGATTACTTTTTTGCGACTAATGATATTTTTTACCTCCTCGAGTTTCTTAGACTCAGTGTTAAACAGCATGTCAGGATTTCCTTGAAAATCAAAATATGATTACATTACTCTAAATTTTTACATCGTCTTTCTTCTATTGATGGCCTGTTTGGACTGCTGTCTGTCTTATTGGTTCCATTGAACATGGGTTCAGGGGCCAGAATAGCTGAGCTCTTTTTATATTTAAAAAAAAACTATGGAAATGTGTAAACGCCACTGAATTGAAAGGATAAATTCAAATTAATAATGCAAAGTTTACAATTCCCACTAATGGAAATAAATCTCACGGACAACTATCACAATATGTATGTATTGACTCTTCTATGTTCTACAAGACATTAAAATATATCAGCGCATTAAGAATCTACAAGCTTTACACGTGACTATAACAGTCTGTTCTAAAATTTGTAAAGTCTTTGTTGGTACTGTAAACAATCGTCGTTCCGGAACAAAAAGGAAACAACATCTCTGAGAAAATATATAATTGGATTAATTAACAAAAAAATGTTCTATTTCAATTTCTTCCATTTAGCTGAGCGCGTTTTTGAGAGGATCATTTTCTTTTTGTTTGAAACTGAAATACTGTAGAGAATTAATAATTAAAAAAATGTTTTGGAAATAAATCGTAAATCCACTACCAACGAACTAAACTAGTTACAGTATGTTTATCTTAAATATATTATTAGAAAGTTGATCCTATAGTTGAACTGAAGTTTAGCACTCAAATTTTGATTTCAATATTTAAAAAAATATATAAATGTATTGAGGAAGCATTGAATTACAAAGTTAAAACTAATTGAATCACATTAATAAAAAACAGGTTTTTGGGACGGGCTTAATTGGCTTGCGCCCTTGCCTCTCTAACAGCCAGTCGTTTTAAAAGCATTTTTTAGACAAACATCTTTGGAGTTGGCTGTTACTGATGATATTAGATTGACGTTTAGTAGCAATATTATCATTTGCACTTATTAAAAAAAATACATAGTAAAAAGTTGAAAGTTTAGGAAGTTCAAACCGACAGCGACAGTTAAATGTCATATAACCTTTATTTTCGGTATTTCGAGCTCTGACCAGTCTATTTTTATTTCTCAGCTCCCCATCACCACTTACTTAGCTAACTCCTTACTTCCGTTTTTTGTCCTCTAGTGACGATAGATATCTTCGGTCAGCAAATAATTTACTTCTCTTAAGTCCCTCCCACGACTCTGACTTCGTGAATTCCTTATTCAAGCAGTTCTACTCTGGAATGCGATACCGCTTGAAAACAGGATATCTACAAACAAAAGGTACATGATTTCCTTCGTAATGAGATGGTAGAATTATCTGATCGATAGTAAACCAAATGTAAAAATAAATATACGTTGTTATATACCCACATTACGCACACATTACACGCTTGTAAACAATGAAAATATACGTTTATATGTCAGTCAATATATACTCTTTACACACACTCAGTATATACTAACATACTAACTCTTTATTAATAAGTTCATGTTTATTATACATAATATGTATAATTTTATGTATATAATGAACTGTGTGTGTAATAAAAACATTTATTTTCATTGATTACAAGCGTTACCGTGTGCGTGTGCGTCTAACTTACAAACAAACATTGACTGAGAGAAAATGCACATTGGCAATGGATGTCATTAAATTCACCAATGTATATATGTGCATAAAGTTATATTAATAAAAAAAAAATTAATATTTTATAAATACATATAGTACTACACATAGCTTTACCATTTGATAACGAGGATATTAGGAGTCGGAATGTACGATGATATATCCTTATAAAGATCCTGTTGCGACCCGAAACAGTACCGGGATAACACAAACTCTAATTATATTTCGACCGACTCTAGAATCTAATTCTACAGCCCCGAATTCCTAGCGTTAGTGGTTAGATTGTATTGAAAGTTACAATTTGCTACGAAATACCTTCAATAGGGTAGAAATAATATCCGACTATAATTCTACACCATCAATTGTACTTGTATAACATTATTTAAAATTTAAGTATTAATTTTTTTTCATGCAACTATAAGAATATTAATAAAAATTTAGTGAATAATGAATTATGTTATAATTTATTGAACAAAAAACTGTTCAAAAAGTAGTATTATGCGAAGTTATTATGGTCAAACCATATTGTCTAAATACGCTTCAAATAATTGAGTAAGTAATCGATTCATAACTTTGTGACTTCGTTTCACCATGCTATGCTGTACTTATGCTTCTTAATTTTTTTTGTTATCGTTTTTATTTTAAATGTAGCAAACAAAAAAACAATGAATTAAGCGAAAAGGCTATCATCTCAAGTGTGACGTTAGCAAAATTTAATATACAATACTTTCAAAAGCAACTAAAATAAACCATTGTTATACGTTTAATAAATATTTCGGTAAATTGTATTATAATACTCAACTTATATACTATACAAACACATTTTACATATATTGTACTCGTTTACATGAGTACCCTAAATGATGGATCGAGGACATCTTGTGATTGATTCGTGTGCTACCTGATACCACACGCACAAAACCCTTTGTTCGATTATAATTTAAACACAGCCCATATTTGGAAAATTTGAATTTGCTTTTTCAGTGTTGAAACGGTTATTCACAATAAAAAAATAATAATTCTTTTAAATACAGTCACCGATTTTAATGCGCCTAAACCACGATCAAAGACAACTTGACCTGAAGTTAAGAGATGCGTAATAAGAGGTGAGTAGTAGGCTTGTATTACATCACGTAATGTCAAGGTAAGTGTTCTTTCAATGTAGTTTTAAATAATATTTCTGGCTGACTCTGTTCATAATGCAAATTGCTCGTCACCTTTTCCAAAATACAATTATTCGTAATACAGGGATGTTTTTTGTAAAAGTGAAGATCGAATTTTAAGTAGAAGTGACCAATAAAAGAATCTAATACCAAAACTGTAATGAAAAAGATCTCAAAGTATTTGCGAAGCATTACAATAAAGGAAAGTTATTTATCTAATAGAGGATGTTAATTGCTTTGGTATTTCCTATCGAATCTGAAAGTCCATTATCGTCATGTTCATCATAACTGTGAAATAATCCGCCCTATCAGTTTTGTTTTATAATTTGTTAGTATTTTCCAATTAGAGATTGAATGATGTATTTTGAATATACTAAGTAATTTATGAACCATTTTCGTATTATTGCCTCAAACTTTCTATCTATATATATATATGCAAAAAATATGTTTCTGGATTCATTTTTCTTTTAGACATTTACAAGAGATCAACATCTTTTTTATAGCACTAGGTTATAAGCTAGCGCTCTAAGCTATTTTTCATCCCGGGGAATAAACGATTGCCGGAGAATAAACAACAGCTATTTAATTTTTTAATAAGCACGAAAATAAGGTGACAAGCAAAAGGTGGCTAAATACAGGCAAATTAAAAAAGTTACTGAAGTGTCGCTACCAATCCTGTACGTACGTAGCAAATACGACTTCCTATGATGACTTTTTACTTATATTCATACGCAGACACTCGGACTGAGTAACTTTCGGCTCTTTACATGGTGTGCTCCTTCCTGACATAGTTTGGTTCTGTAGTTTCTGAAATTTGGCACATATATAGATAGAACAGCACATGGGCTACTTTTTATCCCAGAAAAAATTACTTACGAAATCGACAATAATGAGCAAAGCCCCAAGCAAGCTATTATAAACTATCTATATCATCATAGTGTGGTATTTTCACGAACAATGAAACAAATACATACCTTAGTACTATTTAACGAAGATATACTAAACTACGGAGTACCTAATAATTCTGTATCGCGGACGGAATTGTGTAGCAGGAAATAAGACAGACTACTGTAATACTCACTTGTTATTTTTTTGATAACATTTCACTTTTCACTCAGATCTGCGTCATCAGATGGTTAATTATTGACTACGTGTCCCAAGTATCTAAAACTGGTTACCTTTTGCAGCTTTTCGCCGTACAGCGTATACGGCGAAACACAACTAGGCACACTGAGCTTCCCTTTGAAAAGCAGTACTTTGCTTTTATCTATGTTGTATGTGAGACCGTGCTCCTTCGCGTACGCCTTACACATCGACAGTAGTTTACGCATTGCACCCACCGATGGTCCCAGCAGCACCATAACGTCCGCGTAGGCTATGTTATTAACTAATATCACAACCGGTGTGAGTGCTGCTGAGCTCATCGATTGGGTCATTTACATATAAATTAAATGGAAGCGGAGAGGTTAATAAATAAATAAATCCACCTTGCCTAACACCGCACTCTATGCTATATGGGTCAGACAAAGCACCCGCCGAATCACACCTGATTCCGCTGGCAGCGATACCATTCCTTTTGGAGGACTACAGTTTCCACCGGCACACCCGCATTACTCAGTTTATCCCAAAGCTTGTCATATAGGATGGTATCAAATACTTTTGACAAATGGCTAAGAATGTCATTAAGCAAGCTGTCAAGCACCTTGGCTACTATCCTCGCAAGTGAGACGGGCAGATAATTTTTCTTGTTCGATATGTCCCCGGTTCTTTGTTTGGAAACAGGCACTATTATTGTTTTAGTGAGCCTCTCCGGTAAGTACCCATGCCAAAGACAAAGATTGTAGAACAAGGCGAGGACACTCGGCAAATGAACTCCGGCATGCGTAAGGTGCACGAAACTGAGGTGAACTTAGCATTCCACTTCTTTACACTTTTTAACTGCTTCACTTAAGTAGTTAAAAATAGATTAC